CCGCCTTCACTTAGGGCGGGCACGAGGCTTGCTGGGGGCCTATGCCCAGAACATATGCATGTCGGCAAGGCCCCTCTGAGGGCTCAATCCTCACATTCCATCCCCCTTAGCTTCGAAAGTCCGCTGAGATGCTTACTTCGCAGGTGCCTTGCCTTTCAGCATTCTCTCGTATTCTGCCACCACTTGAGGAGCTGTCTCAATCAGTTCCTCTCTGACCATCCATGGTTGGGGGCAGCATCGATCTCCTTGAAGGGATTTGATCTGTCTCAGCGAAAAGTGCAAGCTTTGAGGTATGAAAGACAGGGTAAGTACGCAGGGGATCAGGGATACAGATAGCGTAGGCCGGATCATCCAAATCATCCCCCGCTATATCCAAGACTTCCCGAGATGGATCAACTAACCTTTTATTCCCTGCCTTATCCAGAAAGCATAATCCATCCATCAGGAGATGGTCTTTCCGGTAGGCTTCCACCGTCGATTGAGTTAGCTCGTAAGATATGCCAAATTCATAAACTAGTGCCCTAAGGTAATCTACCCAACAGATAGTATCTCCAGTGAATTAGAGCCTTATATAGGGCATAGAGTTCCCTCACTTAAGTGGACTTAGCCAACTTCTTAGATGACATCTTTTTGCTCATACTCAATCAGCCTCAACTTCTTCCCATCCTACTGAGCCAGTACTGCGCCAATCCCATACTGGTTAGCGTGAGTGGTTACCATAAATGGTCTCTGAGGATCGGGAACCATGAGAAACTCGTGATTCATGAGTGCGTGCTTCAATCGTTTGAAGGCAACCTCACACTCATCACTCCAATCCCATGAGGTGTCAAGTCGAGTAAGATCTGTCCAAGGAGAGACGACTGTAGAATAGTTCTTTACGAAATTCCTATAGTAGTCGCTCATCCCTAAGAAAGATCTAACCTCAGTCACCGTCTGAGGACGTGGCCAGTCCCTAACACTAGCCACCTAGACGCTCTGCGTTCATCACTGTGATGGCTTTGAGGCCTCTATAGTCAAAGCGCATCCTCAAACTTCCTCCCTCCTTCGTTACAGACAACACTGGGGATCCGAAGGGAGAAATGTTGTATACATCCCTTTTTCTGTCAGCTCCTTCAGTTGTCGATAGAGTACGTCCCTCTCGGTCGAGGCCATCCTATAGATTCTTCCCTTTGGGGTCTTACTCCCTGGAATTATTTCTAGGGTGTGGACTATCTCCCTTTCAATTTCTCCTGTGGGCCTCTTGAACAGATCAAGGAACTCAGCGACGATATAAAATAGGTACATACCCTCCTCTTGGTTTTGTAGTATTATAGAACGTTGCTGTTCATAAGCACGCATAGGACTCAAACAACCCACTAGCCTCCCACTTAGCTAGTCTAATGGTTCTCCTATCAGGCAACTCATGCTTCAGCACTTTCTTGTCCCAGTCCAACTGGGGCTTGGCAGCCTCAAGGTAGTACATTCCTAACAGCATGTCGAATGACAATTCGTCAATAATCTGGAACGAAATTCTATGATTAAGTTCCCCTCCTCCAAAAGAGAAGGTCCAGACTACGTCCTTGACATAGTCTTCTATTCACTACTAAGCGCTCGTCGTTGGCCAAAGTAGATGCTACCGGTCTACTAAGGTGTTGTACCTGGTCCTGTGGCGCAGCCTTTCCATACAGTCAGAGCTTATGTAGTTCCGCGTGGAGCCAATGTCAACGAAGGCACCACATTTGCGGCCTCCTACACCAACTTCCACACACTTCTAGGACCACAACTTTGTGCCACCCAGGATTCTCTAGGGTCCCTGTCTGACCACTCACTCTGYGAATCCTCTAAGGCCTCAGACACATCTAATGTACAGAGCACATTTTGGTCCAGATGAGTCTGCGGGGTGACTAAAGAGTCATTAGCCTTGGCCAACTCATGAAGTGGGGAGGGTATTCCCACTTCACCATGAGTGGAAGCAGCTAAAACTTCCACCGACCTCACTTGTTTCCCGAGCTAGAAGCCTAGGAAGAAGGCACCCCTCCCTTAGGGGTATCTTCTGCGTGACCTTCGCATTCTTGCATTTATGCTGGGTGTGCTCATTCTCACCTAGTTAATGCAAGCTTCTATGCGATCGGCGGTCCCGCCACACTAATCTAAGCCAGCCTTAACGCAATCATCTACTTTGGACTGATTGGAGGCGGCCTGCCCTTGACTTTTTTGATGGCCCTTCCCTTGGCCACCCGCCTTAGTCTTATACTACTGCGGCAAGGGTGCTACCCTCAGCATGATCCTCATCGTCATCCTCTGGTGTGTCCGTCAAGTCAGAAAGGTCATTGACCTCATCATTCGTCTACCCTTCTTCTTCCACTCCTGTGGACTCTCCTTTCTTCTTCTGTCTACTGAAGCGTGATATGCCGACTGTGTTCTCAGAATCTCAAGGAGAAATAACGAATGCCTGGGACAACAATGAGATTCTCAACGGTAGTCGTAAACTCCCTGATTGATTGTGTTAGCGAGCTTCTACCCTGTCGATGAACTCTCCTATGCGTTCTCCATACCTGGCTTTCGTTATGAACATACTAAGCCAATTATCACTTCCTTCTCCAGAAGGTTCTCTTGGCCCTCACCCACATCGGAAATGATCTCAACCTGAGATTGAGATCCTCCTCCTTCTTTTCACCTGTGTAAGGAAGGGGAACCCTCTTCTGGGTCTTTGAGAACAAGGAACTTGCTGCTGTTCCTGTGGTGGAACAGGTTGCTGTGGCGGTGATTGAGTAGCTGACACCGCCTGACTAGAAGAAGAAGAAGCTACAGCCTGTGCTGCTGCTGCTGACGAACCGCTTGGTTGTGTGCCAGCTTGGGGATAGATGCCTATAACTGCCATCTTAGGGAGTGGCGATTTATAAACTGCGAGCAGCCTAGAGCTTAGCTGCTGCAACTGAGTCAATGTCTAGTCCAAGGTGTCTTGCATGAAGTCCACTTTGCTGACTACGCGTGCGTGTAGTGAGGGCAAACTAGACCTCAACACCTTCATTGGGTCAAACAACGTTGTCTCATCCGTTGCCTCAAGTGCAGTTTTCTCGGCCTCTACTCTCTCCAACCTGACTATCCTATCACTCTTTCTCTCTGTGGCTTCATGAAGTTCCCTCACTAGCCGTGCACGGATCCTTTCGACTTGCTGGAGTTCCCTCAACTCCCGCTGGCGTAGGGTCAAGCATTCCCAACTGTGT